GGACTTTGGACTTTCCACAGGACAGGGAACCCTGACTGCTCTTCAGACTGGAGAGGGAGGGTGAGAGGAGTGGGGGGAGGGAGAGAAGAGTGGAAGGAGGGGAAGGGAAAAGGGAGACGGGGAGGGAAATGGGAGGCGGGGAGGAGGCAGAAATTTTTTTTCAATTAAAAAAAATTTAAAAAAAAGTTATGAACACATCACTACCAAAATCTATACACATGTAATGAATCCAGTTGTTTAGTTATCTGAGTACTCATATACTGAGTACTGGAAAGAGTATGGCTAGTAAAAGCCAAGGATATTGAGGGATGTTACCTTTAACATCAATCCTTTCAATTTAAGTTCTAGGACACAATCAAAAATCAACAAAAGCCACAGGGGCCTGAATGAATACTTCAAAGAGCTGAGCGAGATGTGGTTCTGAAATATGGCTTATTAAAATAATCTGTACCTGTGGGATGGAAACAATAAAATAAGAACCAAGAGGAGATGCATAGCTAATGGTCAATAATTTAGAATCATTTTTCTTTTTTCTTATTTGATTCATTAATTAATCCAGAAGATATTTATTGAAAACCTAGTACGAAACAAGCAAAATGACTGGTACTTGGGTAGTTTATATATTATGAGGAGACAGGTGATCAGCAAACAATAACAACTGACTAAATAAATATTAATAATATATTTAAAAATTAATAATAAGACATATTGGGGCAAGCTAAAGAAAAGAACATTCCAGCCTCTTCTGTCCTTGGAAAATTTGATATCTGCTCTGTCATGGCATATGAAATACTGCCATTAGAGATTTGTCGTGGTATCTTAGAACACTTACCACTACTTCAAATTTTCTTTAAGAGAATAATAGCAACCAAGAATAGTGATACATGGCTGTATCTAGAATTCTAGGAGCTAAAAGTCCAGGAAGATCAAAGTTCAAAGCCATCGTTGGCTATAAAATAATAATTTGTCTCAAAACAACAATAAAATATCCGTGGAAAGAGACATATAAGCCATATTGCTTCTTTATTTTGTTTCCACTACCCAACCTGCGGTAAAGCCAAGCCACCAGGATGACAGTGAAAGAAGAACCGAACCAACTACTCTGATCCTAGCTTTCTGGTTTGTGGTGCTAAGGATTGAACCCCAAGTCCTGCTCTAGTTGCTCTACTCCCCAGTTTTTTCAAATCCCTGAAATTATAATCATCTAATTTTTATTTATCCAATGTTCTTTCACAAAAAATTATCTACATGGTTATAAGGTACACTAAATTTTAGTGAGAGAACCAATGGCTAAGTCTCAAGAATATGGACTCAATTTAACTCTGTCATATATAACCAAATTATTTCTTGAATAAGTTCATGCTTTGTCTCACAAATTCCTCCTACTTCTTACAAGACCTGCCCTTAAGATGAACTCAGCTCAATCATATGTGGCTCCAGGCATAATTTATTGTTAACTTCATTTGCTTGTGGTTTTCTACATGAAAGCAATAAAACTAGTAAAGGGAGTTTTATCACTAGGGTGCTATAGTTCCTGATCAGTGAGCCTTTCCGGAGCTCTTCATTTGTTTGATCTCCAACTATATTTTTTACTTAAGTCACTACAGTTCTTTGGAGGATTCTTTCTAGTGTTTATTTCCTTTTTATGTCTTCATGGACTTGAGCACTCTTCAAATTTATGAGTTGCATTCCTGTTTTTATTTTTGGTTTTTACTTCTACAATCGTATGTTGATAACTTTCACTTTTTTAGCACAATAAACTTTTCCTTTGATAAACAGGATACATTTAAGATTCCTTCATCCTTAAAATCCTTTCTTCATAAAGAGCAGGAATTTTTTTTTTTGTGCATGTAGCCTTCTCAGTACAATCTGGACACTAAGTGTTGTGTAATAGTTCCAGAATAAATTTCATTCACAAAGTTTCCCAGCTGAGAGCTTATTTGAGTTGTGCAATATCTTTTGGGAACAAGATTTTCTTTTGAAAGGCAAAAAAAAGTAGCCCTAGAATAACAAAATGATTGGGAAAGAGGTACAAACTGGGGTTGAGGTTATAACAACGACTGTTTCCCCCGTCCTTGATTCTGCTCTGGGGAGGTCTTTTCCTCTCAGGGGAACATTTAGCGGTGGTTTCAAAAAAATAAAAATTGTCTCTGCAGATAATGCATACATTGTCTCATATAAAAATTTAAAAATTACAGCATAAAATTTCAATTCTTTTCTCAGAGCTTCCTGGACTCCTGAAGACAGAATTAGCAAAATCAGATAACACACACAGGCTGCCCAACACAGCACCGGCATGCAAGAGCGGCTCAGTTGTTTTAATTCTCTTCAAAACTGGGCTCAATTTATAGTAACTGACTCCAAATTAACGTCCCTTTTGTTTTCTTCAGAAGGATTTTTGAGGTGTGGTCCCTAAGCTAGAAGCACCAAAACTATATTGAGAGCTTGTTTAGAAAGCTAGAATTTTGTATCCTGCCACAAATGAGCAGAAAGTACTAGAAGGAAAACTCCAACCCAAGGAAGTCGGGGCTACATTAGCAATCTATAATATATTTTAAGTGAGCTAAATAACTTGCTTCGGAGGAGATGTAAGTCCCACTTTAGAAAATGTAGTACATGCGTTTACATTGTCTGAGAGCTCCTGCAGATAATTAAAGGAGCAGACTGCAGGGAAACTGTGAAGTTGAATCAGGCATGCTTTTTAAGCTGTTTCGCTCTGACCAATCCTCCATTCCGTAATTCTATTTTCTATGCTTATTCCTCCTGAGTTTTCTACCCTGTCTGCTTTAAAACTTCCCGAACTCCGCCAAAGCGATAATTAGCGCACCTAAACACCTCTGCACGCCTTGAGGAATGTTTGGTTATTGCAGCCATCTCTGTCTAAACTAGCTCTTGGCTATTGGGCTTCTGGGCCTTGCACGCTGATCTGTTTTCCTCGAACGCTTGCCCCAGCCACCTGCAATAAGAGCACACATTCCTCAGACCCTAGCAGTTCCAGGTGGAAAGGTCCTTAAATTGAAAATCCCCCTGGAAGTGCGCAGGCCTGTCAGGTTTCTTATGCCCTTATAAGGTCTGCTGAAAATCTGCTAACAAATTAATGGTCCAAAGGTTAAGTAACAGTTTGACAAACATGTGTCCAGGAGGGAAGGCACATGCCAGAAGAGTGCCCTTGTGACACTCTGCCTGTGGGGGGCAGTTAAGGCAGCATCAAGTTGCAAGCTTTGGGGCCAGTTTAAGTAACACAAAAGAAAACAGTGTAACATGTGGCAGAGACAGACCCACAGAGAGGAAAACAGCGAATGAAACGGCTGTGTGAAGCCAGTGGAAAGTCCTCCTTGCTCAGCTCTCACTACTGTTACAATAATAAACAATTATATACCCTGTGCTTGGTGTACAAGCAGGGACGATAGAGGAAGTCACTGCAGTGTCTAATAGCCAATTACATCAAGTTCTGCTTCAGCCATTTAATATAGCAAAATAAATGTAATGGAAACAGGCTGAGCTAACCATGCTCTATCATATCTTATGACTTATTTATCTTTCCTTGCAGAGATTTTCTCTTTGAGTTTCATGTAGTATCAATAGGCCACATGGCCCTATGAAAATCGTTTCAGGGTAGTTAGTAAAATCTCCAGTTGAAAAGTATGTGTGCATGTGAAACTAACATTTTCTGAACAATTCATGCGGGACCTAAACTTACATCTTACATAATCTTCTGAAAAGATC